AGGCGCCGCTGTAACACAGCCTCGTAACCGGGCTGTTTGCATTCCGCTTCGCCTTGCCCGACGTGATTTGTAGCCTCGCGCGTGTTTAAATGTTCGAACGATCGCGCCACCGTCTGAGTATGATAGTCACGTTGTCCATTATTCGGAATGAGGCTAATCGAATATAAGCAAATGCGACCAGTGCGTACCATGCACGCGTCACACCCGAGCACATGGCCCGAGAAGCGCATGCACCCTACCACCTTGTGGTTCTATATAAATATCGTAGGAGGTGCGATTCGGGGCACCAAAGGCACTCGGGTTAAAATTAAAGAAAGCTCTTTATCTTAGAAACTTAATTTTTCGCACATCGATGTCTTACTTCGTCGAGAGTCTTTCACGAACTGAGCTCGACGATTTCACACGCATGGAATTGAGGGGGAATCCCCCCTCCGGGGTACCAACGGAGTCTTCGTTGTTTCGGTGATTCCTACGGTACTGCCTTGTCGGTACTAACTCACGATGGTTGAAAGTCAGCTCAGGTATCCTCGATGTGTCAGCAGAAAGAACTAGAAGGATCGAAGGGAAAAGGAAGGGATGAGCGTTTGGTCCCGGGCCCGTGGACAAAAGTGGGCTTGTGGACTCGTGGACTCGTCAATAAGGCATTCTAGCAGTCCTCTGCCTTAAACAGGGATACTATTGCAAGGTCTGGAAGTTATATATATATATATATAGGAAGCTGAAAGAATAAATTCTAATGTTTCAAGTTAATAAATATTCACTACACTTTCTGTTGTTTATACTACAGTTTATTTCACTCTTAACATAATTTTATATTTTACATTTTCATCTCCAGCACCACGTGCACAACCTTATATCCCCACGGCGAGCAACAGACGACTGACGACTTAGCCGTCTATTGTCTTATGCTGCACCAAGGCATCAGCACACACATAAACAAAACACACCAGCTCACATACATGTACAAATGTAATATCCGATAGAAGCGAAGGTTTCTCCAAGAACTTGCGAGAAAGTCCTCTAACCTCCTTCAAGGAGGAATCCATCTAGTGGCGAGCGTGAGAACGATGGGATGGGACCAATTGTAGATGATTTTCTTACAATATACCATTTACATATTAAAAATTAAAGAAAAAAGAAAATGGACGGCTATGGTGTATTTCTCATTATTAAAACTCACCGAAACTACTTCACCCTTGAAAATAGTTAAACCCGCGAGTGGAGTATGCTCGGGTTAATAAATTACACGGTTAACAGGTTGATTGATCGTTTATTTAAATACGCATGGAATGAAAACGACGGTCGAAAAGCGTGGAAACAGAGATCATCGAAGAGACAGGGGAACGAAGTTGGAGTGTGCACAGACAGCGAGCGGATTCGCGTGGAGGAGGCTGGATCGCGAGTGCCGGGTCCCGTGACCGTTCTCGATACAGTAGCCACTTTTATGTGGCTGAACTTTTCATCCGCAACTTTCGTCGGAGGAGCCAGTTACATCGGTAACTTTTTCAACGGTGCTCGTTTGAGCCGCTCGTTGCACGCGAATCCATCGTTGGAAAGTTTCTCCGTCGCTGACAACGAAAACGAACGGGGGAAGCCGTGCTCTTTGTATCAAAACAGCCGGCCAATCGAGGTTCATAATTTCGCGAAAGGGGTGACGATTATTCGTCTCGAAGGGCGACTCGCGCGGATCACACTGTCGTCTGCTCGTCTCCGAGGGGACCTAGTCATTTCGAGTGATGACTCCGGCATCGATCAACCATTAGCCACACGGTCCCCGAGGTAATCTCTCGAATTAAATTCTTACCATTTCGTAATGGGATCCGCGTTAATCGGCCACGATTCGTCTCTAATAGAAATTAGCCACTGCCGGCGTACAATCGGCCGGCGACTGGCTTCCTCGAACGAGCGCTTTGTACCCAAGCAGGGGGGAAGAAAGAAGCTACGAAAAGAAAAGTAAAGGCGAAGAGGGGTACGAAAAACGTCCCGGGGACGTCGGGAAAGAGGTTGCAGGACAAAAGCAGCGATGCTGAAAGAAGATTTGTCAACAAGCAAATTAGACGCGGCGGAGTCAAAGGGCTGATTCGCTTAAATCATGGATCCATTGTGCTCGCGGCTTTTGAACGGCAAAGGGTAATACAGGTAATTCGGAAAATGTGCTTTGAAAGGCGTCTTATGCATAAAAACCGACGTCTCCGATAGCGTGGCGCGGGTGAAAAGCGTGGCGGCGAAAAAACCGAGGGCGCGGGGGTGGTGTGGAGAACGCGGGGCGGGGGAAGAGGGCGGCAGAAGTAGCTCTTGCTTCTTTCACCCGGGGGAATTGTGGTTAACCGTACGGAATCGGTAGTGTCGTGGAAAAGAGGGTTGTTATAAGCGGCCTTACACCACGCCCGGCTTGGCCCGCGAACTGGGGCGGTGTCACTGTCACGGAATCGATATCTGTTCTCTCCTACTGAATTTTATTCCGCGGCTGAGACAAGAAAAGCGACTAACTCGGCCCCTTCGCCGGCGAACGCCTCGTTACCTCCTATTTTCCCTCCGTTTCCCATACGCGATAAATTCCCCGTAGACGTCCACCTCGATACCATCGACTTCGCGGCACAAGACCCTGCGTTCCGTCCACCCTCTCCGGCGCGAGGCGAGTCGCCGACTAGGTAGACCTACGCGCGTAATTTTCCCCGGCACAGTCGCCTAAGTCGATTATATATGCGCTTTCTTCCGCTTCGTTTCTCGCCTACGGATATCGAACGCCTTACGAGCATCGGACTCGCCGTGTCCGACCAGCTACGGGGCTATTCTACTAGCGCCACTGTTATTCTACTTCGTTGACCGCGCACGAACAACCTACGACTTACGTGCGCGCCGCGTCTGACCATGTACCGACTCGCTCTACTTTATCCGCTCTACGCGCGCCGCTTTCGAACCAACGACCCGAGCTTATCTCTCCTCCGTATCATTTCCTCGTCAAACAGGGTGACGATTCTGGTGCGTCGACTTTCCCAATATACCAAAGCTCCATGTACCTATCAAACGCCTCTAGTATCGCTCGTTTCCTCGAGGTCTCGAAACGTAGAAACAAACGCGGGACTCGAGGAGGATATTGTTCATT